TTCTTTGATTCTTCAAGACCTTTGATCTCTCCCTGACAAAATATAATATTCTAATTTAAACACAAGCAAAGACGTTGTGAGTTTGTGCCTTAATACGATTACTGAATATGACTAACACTAAATCAAATGCAATTTTTCTGCTTTACAATGTGAGGATTGACAACTTTAATCAAAGTTGTACGGGAGTTCTTTGGGATTCATCATTTTGGCAAATATCCATGTACAGGCAATACAACTATGCCAAGAATTTCGTGCATGAATCAGGACCATACATCATTCCCTTACTTTACCATGCTGTATATGATCGGGCTAGCAGAAGGGTTGATATTCGATACCATGTTCAATATATGGGATGTGATGGGATGGTGTAGGATTAAACATTATTGTTATAGAATGGGAAAGCATGGGATATGGGTAAACCTGAATATGAAATGATAATATGGTCAAACCTGGTGCTCATAAAAAGACAGCCTTGGGACCTAACCCAAAATTGTCTGGAAGTATCTGTGTGGGAGTTTTTCTAAAACTGTTATTTGGTAAAGGATTTTTGACAAGGCAAGATGAAGGTGAGTTGGATGGAATGGAATGGGATGGGAAAGGAAGGCATTTTGTATACCTACAGTATGAAAAATCTCATAATAAAATGCAAATAGACCATTGATAGAAGATGCTACCTCTGCTTCTCTCAGCTGTCCAACAACTTTATCCCTTTCATTTGAAAAATCACTCACAGCCTGGTTCACCTGCAAAATGTACATATTATGGCAAGTTGAGAGCTCAGACTGCAAAATATATCAATGTCTAGAATGACTAATCCATTCATCGATTGTACTATGTGTATTTAGAGATCGAATAAGTAAGGCTCAAGGGAATATTTTCAACACAAAAATTAGTGAAATTAATAAACAATGTTTCAACATTGTCAGATGTCATTGTCAAGTAAATGTGTAGGTTAGTTTTCACATCATAAATAGATCTACAATTATGCACATAAGGTGGCAAAATTTAAGTGGCAAGAAAACAAGAAAAAGTAACTTTTAGGAAACCATGTTAATTAAATGACATCTGACGATGTCAAAATGTCGTTTATTAATATCGCTAATTTTTGCCTTGAAAATGTTGTGCATTTAATTCTATGAAATAAATTTACTGAACGTTTAGACAAGTTAAATATTAAATGAATGGCAAGATTGCTGCTGCACTAGAGTCACTTTTTCATTCAAACAGTTAAATTACATTCATGTACTTGAGATCATTCTTAACAAACCAATCTCTTTGTACTCTTTAACATATAAAAAAGTGAATGTTTTAAAAACCTAACAGTGCAGCTACAGTGTACCTCATTCATTATGTGATCTTTTTCCTTGCACAAATGTTCTCTCTCCCTCGTCATCTCATCTATCTTGGCTTGAAGACTGAAAACCTCTCGGTCCTAAGAACAGACAAGCACACATCCAAGTCAAAGCTCTTACAACAGAGACAGCATTTGAAAAAGATGAACATTTTAAAGACCAAAATCCACAAGAACCCGCTATTTTACTAACAGTGACTTGTGATCAACATGATGGAATGTTTTCCTCATTCTAAAAAACAAATCATCAAATGAAACTAAAAAAGATCATAACAAATGACTGTCACATGACTTTTGTACAGTCATGTAAGTCTGCCGATTAAAATATTAATATTATATTGTAACATACAAATTCCTGTCTCAGTTTCTCAGTTTTGCCTCTTTCATCCAGCAACTGCTTGTGTAGCTTGTTAATGTCTTCTCTTAAAACAGATCTAGAGAAAACAAATGTAAGTTAACTGACAATGTTTATGCATGAATAAGAGATGTCATAAACTAAAAATCAGGGGAGAGCTCCTAAAGATATATGAAATGCAGGGAGCATTGAAGAGCAGATATGGAACTTTAACCTAACATTATGACTGCGGCATTATGTTAATGTTGAGAGCTGATCTGAACCTAGCCAAAACAAATTCAAAGTTAGCCTCTCTGTAATGACACTGACAAGGAGATCTCTCTTCGCGAGCTCAGTTCTTTCCACATTGGAAAGGCTTCTGAGAATTTCTTGGATTGGAAGTGGCCTATGTTCAAACATTTACAACCTGAAGCAACAGTCAATCAAAGATGTTACACAGATCTCCGTATCTAGAGCTTCACCATCAACATGAAATTCTTTGGGTAAACTCAAAAGTAGGCTGTAGTGCAGGCGTTATTTTGGAGTGGAACACTAGATAATTTGCCATGGGTTTTCGATGCCGCCATCTTGGATTGTAATTGGATGCCTGACCGGTAGAGGATTGGTGCAGAGGCGGGGTTGGGGTGGGGGGTGGGGGGTGGGGCTCCCCCCTTGCCCATTTTTTCCACCTAATGCCTACTCTCTTGGCAAATGTTTCCTCACCCCAGTCCTCCACAGTTACCAAATCTAAGATAGCAGCCTAATACCAAAATGTGCACTCGCGCACCCAAAGTACGCCTGCACTGCAGGCTAACTCAAAAGTGCACCATCCACATTTTCCCCATGTTAAAACTTGATTAAAATATAAAATATAATATTAACATGGTTACACTATATGACAAATTCAAGCTGCAATAACACTCCAGGAGGGGACTCCCATATGAAAAGCTTTGGAGATGCTTATCGTCTCGCTTAGGGGTATAAATCATGGATTCTGGTCTCTCTTAGGATGTCGACGGAAAAACACCTCAGTCTATTTTAGGGGAGGCGCGGTGGCCTCATGGTTAGTGC